TTGGCGGACAAATACGCCAACAGTATTGAAAAGAGTGTGAAAAGGATTTTTGAAAATCACAAGAAGTACTTCTGGAAAACGAAGGGCAGAAACGAAACGCTGGAGGAATATATGTAATGATTGTGTTGTGGATTGTAATTAAACATTGAACTCATTGTTTCACTTGATTTGAAAGCATTTGCCGCAACAGTGAATGGTATAGCGATAAGAATATAATTGATTTTATGAGTAAAATTGGCCGCTATTTACGGGTGACTACAATGATGGGCAAAACCATTAGAGACCGATTGGACACAACGGGTCTCTGTTTTTCAGAGTTTTCTTATCAAATGTTTCAATCCTATGATTGGCTTTATTTGTATCAAAAATATGGCGCCGAGTTTCAGGTGATTAATGGCTTAATTACTTATGCATTGAATATTAACTGAAATCTAATTGATTGCCATTCAAACAGATCGGAGGAATAGATCAGACCGTGAATATACATAATGGTCACGACCTGATCAGGCGTTTGACTGATAAGCAAACGTTTGGTCTTTTTATGCCAATACTAACCGATGAGAACGGGAAGAAATTTGGCAAAAGTGAAGAGAAAGCTATTTATTTAAACGACGATAAAATTTCTCCGTTTGGTTTCTATCAAGTAATTATTTCTGGTTTATTGGGCATTCATTTTGTGTGTATTAATTGTATTGATTAATTTCCCACCAGTTCTTCCATCAGTTGACAGACCGACAAGTTTATGACTTTTTGAAAATGTTTTCGTTTCGTTCGGACGCAGAGATTGAACAGATATACCAGAAATCACTGCGAACTCAAAAGCCGTGGTATTTACAGGAGATTGTGGCCGAAGAGATGACACTTTTAGTTCACGGAGGTATCACTTATTCGATACAATATCTGACGCTTAAAATACTATATACATGCATATGTTATGCAGTGATTTGAACTAAGATTATGTAACTTCTGTCCAACAGAGGCCGGCCTCTCATCAGCCAAGAGAACAACTGATGCCTTATTTAAGAGAGATGTGGAAGTGTTGGCCCGACTCAACGAATCCGAAATTAACGATGTGTTTGAAGGCGCGCCGATGTCTACATTGATTTTCAATCCCGATGAGATGACCGCTATTGAGTTGGCCATCAAAGCTCAATGCTTTACTAATGAATGTAAGACTTGTTTCTATATCCACTTTTGTGTGCAGAGAAAAGTTTAGTTTTATTTCTGCATTCATGTGATGATTGTCTCGCTTTGCAATTTCTTAATACAAATATTAATATGATTTCAATACTTAATGCATTGTTTCACTCGTTTTTTTGCTACAATGTTTGTGCGAACACAACAGTCGAAGCGCTTCGAGTCATAAAAGGCGGCGGATTTTATATCAATTATTCAAAAGTCTTGTCTCCGCAACAAATATTAACACAAACCGATATTCTGGCGAATAGTATAACATTAGTGAGCGTTGGTATGTATCCAATGGAAAAGGGATTGAAGAATATTCTGTTTGCTTTTCATTCTTTTCATATGAATCTAAAGAATAACTTATTATTATTCGGCAAAAAGTTTTTGTTTATTTAACCGTTTGTTTTGTTTAGGGAAACGAAAGCATCACATCGTGAAGTGGTATTGAAATACATATTGGGCTAAACTTTTATATTAAAAGTTGACTTATTTTATATAATAAATCGGTTTCAATGCGCGTATAAATCAAAGGCAATATTTGATTAAATCTTTAATACATTTCTATACATTGATGTGATTTTTTGAATCAAATGTTTAACATAACGTATTTGTGTAAAATAAAATGAAATAAAATAAAATAAAATTTTAAACAATCACTATTACTGTAGAGTTAGAGTAAAACGCGTGAAGTGTATGAATAACGACACAAATATCATTACTCGGCGAACACACGAAGACATGAAATAAAGTGAGACATTAGAGAAATGGCAAAAATTAGGAGAAATGGCTTTAAAACAATTACTTTAATAGAAAAGATAATAACATTATTTTATGAACAAAACGTCTGTCTATTGATGGGTAGGAGTGGAGGAGAAATGGATCCAAATTTGTTTTTGTTATATATTTATTATATCGTATGGTTTTTTGCTGGTATTTGTGATAATAAAAGTTAAATGTATTTTATTATAGTTATAGATAATTATATGTTTTTATTGTGTGTTTGTATCGACTCTTAAGTAATCAATTGTTATGACTTATGACTTGATTGCATGATATGTGCATTTGGTGTCTGTCTTGTGGGGATTAGTGGCAAACGTCCGCTTCGAGTGGCGTTAATTGCAAACACAATCATATGAAACACGAACTGACTTTTGGCTCTTTTGCCTCTTTTGGATCCGACGCCACACAAACACCAGAGGATGAGATGTTAAGCAAACGCTAAGTCTCTCTTTCATAGCATTAACTCAATGCTCTTACAGTATATGCTCTTCAATGGGAACACCAAATGGTAAAATCGATGTCTCAGTCTCTCTTCTGTTTTCTTCCCATTCTTCTCTCTCTCTCTCTCTCTCTCTCTCTCTCTCTCGCATTCACATACTCTATAAGACATTCCTTTGGGAAATCACATAAAAATACTTTTTAGTGAACACAACACTATTGTTCATGTGTTTCATGTGTTCATTTGTGTCTTACGAGTTATTTTCAGAGCCAACTGTTAGGCCAGTCGTGTTCACTACACATAGTGTTCAGACATTTGGTCCAACACTAGTGCACAGAATATACACTTATATAATATGCGAGCAAACGATAGACACCAGTAGTTTGCAAACGAATCAAACGAATTGAAGGAACGTATTGTGATTTATTCGGTTAGTTTAGGCAACAAATTATCTTTAATGCACTAATTTATGCCACTCTTTACTACCAGTTCCTATCAATTCCTTCTCTATTCCCATACCTTTCTATCCATACTTTCAATGCATGAATTGTTTATGCGATTCACTATTGAGTTACACTAAAAACACCGTTTTATTAAGTGTTCAAAATTCTCTAATTCCTTATTCATGTAATGCTTATGTTTATAGCAAACCATTAGTTTGAATACACCTTTCGTTAGCGACAAAACTTTTTCGGTTTAACTTAACTTTCGGATATAAGTTAGCAGTTATTGCTTTCACGGCTGCACTCTCTTAACAATCTTTTAATTAATTATTTAAGACTAAAGTAATTGATTTCTATTTGTTATAATGTGTATCCAATGAATACAATTTGTGTACACATTCACACATATTGTATATCGATTGTAATATTTTATAAGTATTTTGTTATAAAAAAGTTTCCCAAATAGTGTTAAATACTTTGCATACATACTATTGTTCAGAAGACTAATGGTTTTCAATAATAATATTAAATTAAAATAAAACAATTTATTTATATATCTGACAAAATATAAATATATTACTGTTTTGAAATATTTCATTTGATAAATGATTGAATAAATTAATAAAATATTTTATAAATCGATAAAATTGATTAATTGAATAAAAGTCTATAAAATAAATTATAGCAATAATTATCGTAAATCATAATTTACTCAATTTAATACTCGACTAAAATATAATTGATTATTATATAAATACAATGATCCTATACTTTTAAATGGGAACAATTTTAATTAAAATTCATTTTTTGAAATTTCTAATTTTATTTTATTTGCATTGAATTAAATTTTTGCCAAATTTATATTTTAAGAGAAAATAAATATTTATATTTTCTTAAAATAGTTTTGAGGTTTAGACTATATTTGAAAATTGCAATCGATTTTCATATAATCAAAGTGTAAGTTGTTTTTTGGTAATAAATAACAATTAGTTAATTGAGTGATTAGAGTAGCGGTCGCTTGAAATCCCTTATCAATGCTTTCCTCGTCTTTAAACGATAAAGTTTTAAAGTCAGAGAAGTTTGTGATCAGAATTTTAGAGGACATAAAATATATGGCACATAACGACACGAAAATTGCAAAGTAATCTTTTCATATAATAATAATTTTAAAATTTGACTTAAAGTCTGAATTATTAGCAAAAACTATAAATAATGATCAAAAATTGAGTCAATTTGTAATGACTTTCAAACTGAAAAACGACTCAATTTTCTGTTTTTAATAAAGAAATAATTTTTTCGTGAATAAATCATGAAATAAATTCATTTAATAATAAAACTATAAATTTATATAAAGAGAGCAAATATAATGCAAACCCAAAGAAAAGAGATATAAAAAGCGCTGAAATAGAAAAAAGAGAGAAAAATTGAAACTTTTTTTGTTCATAAAAAAGTCTATTTGTTTTGATAAAATGAAATAAATCAAAATCAAAGTCTTTTCATCGTTTCTTTGTAGACCATCTCTAATAGACAGCTGCGATCCTATACTCTATCCAATTGTCTGTTAATCTTTTGCACAAAAATTTGTAGAAATATTTCTTCTTTCCTCAACACTATCTGCTTCTACACTACATTGCAATACATAATAAAGTTTCCCTTAAACTTAAATATCGAAAGAACAGACACATAGCGAGGGAGTAAGTGACGAGAGAGAGAGAGAGAGAGAGAGAGAGAGAGAGAGAGAATGGGAAGAAAACAGAAGAGAGACTGAGACATCGATTTTACCATTTGGTGTTCCCATTGAAGGCATAGACCACTCGCTGACTCTTCACTCAATAGTGAATATTCTTTTAAAAAAAGAAGTTTCTCTCGAAATCTATGGCTTTTCTATACGAATGTCTTATATTAGTCGCGACTCTTTTGCGCCAATCTTTGTATTGTTTTATTCCTAACTGTAATATTCGTTTCACTCTATTATTTGCCATACATTTGTACGTAATGTTTGGCTTTATGTGTTGTCACTATAAAAAAGTTGCACAACTTTATGATGCTATTTGCCTTTTTTAGCAATACGTGTGTTAGATGTCTCCCCCAAACCCGTCTCCCACCACCACTGTTACAGAGAGTCGTTATTTCGAGTCCATTACTCCCCAAAGCCATCCGGAATAAGACATTTACATATGGGTCCTAAATCCTCTGCCTCTACGCTATCTCTACTCTGGAAATGTATTCACAATTCTCTCTCTCTCTCTCTCTCTCTCTCTCTCTCTCTTTCTCGTTAACTGAATATTTATTAGATTTGTTTTGCTATAAAATAATAAGATATGATTCAAAGGCTGAACAGAATAATAGAGTTGTGTTTATATAAATAATTTATAACTCCGTTAATAAATATAAAGTATGAAATAATTATAACTATTTTAACACATTTTAATGTTTGTCTCGTGTATACAAATGTGACGAGTTTTTATGTTTTCAAAACTGTAAATATAGTAATGTTTGTGAAGATTGTAATACTTTTTACGCCAATTAGTGATATAATTACTGATTTTATATGTAATTCATTGTGTGTTAGGGTTTAGGCAACGCTGAGAGCATTAGTTCGTACGATCACACAATTACCAACTTCAAATTATTGGCTTTTTTATGGCATAAGACATATTATAGATATTTAGACATAACATTAGTCACTAGCCATTGGTCACTAACCAAGTGATTGTCTCTGGCCAATTCCCATGATATTTGATCATGTATCCCATAAAAGTTTGTGACCAAAACATAATATAATATAGAATTGAATGATTGGTTGCAAAGTCTAATGCATTATGATAAATAAAATATATAATTTAAACAGATACTAGTATTTGATATCCCAATAGAATTCATTAAAGTATAAAAGATGTGATTTAATTAAATTCCTCACAAATTTAAATCAATGATAAGTTTTATTATTTGAAATTTCTTAGAATTAAAAGAAAATAAAACATTTTTCCAATAAATTTTGAATATTTTAATTTAATATTCTTATTGAGATTTTTATTTAAAATAAAAATATAAAAACAATTCGAAGAATTTTTTAATTATGGTTATTCTGGTATTAAGGTTATTGACAAAAAGACATTGCTTACTCATAAATAGTTTGTAGATTTATTTTTAACCTCAATTCCGAATGAGAATAAAGATTTATAAATTCACATGGTCAACCCTCCCCGCCCCTCTCCCTCATGGGAAATAACATGTTAATTATATGGCTATACTTTAACATTGGGCTAATGTTATCTTATGGGACTAAAATTAACCTACGGGTGATGCGAATGAAATGGTAGTCTTTTAATTCCTATATTAAGTCTATGGGATTTGTCTATTTCCTATATTTCTCAATGAGAGTAATGTTAAGTCAAGTTAATTTTAGCATTTAAAAATAAATGATTTTAAATGCTTATCTCGAATGGAGGTTAATTTATCGCATTGTTTTGCAATCCTTGTTCATAATACATTATAAGTTGTAATAAAATTTGATTTTTTATGGCACCGAATAATATATGAATGATTTGCTATAAAATAGTAAAGAAAAGCCAATAAAACAAAGAATTTATTTTTTATCAAATATTGCGGCAAAGCTTCAAANATCTATGGCTTTTCTATACGAATGTCTTATATTAGTCGCGACTCTTTTGCGCCAATCTTTGTATTGTTTTATTCCTAACTGTAATATTCGTTTCACTCTATTATTTGCCATACATTTGTACGTAATGTTTGGCTTTATGTGTTGTCACTATAAAAAAGTTGCACAACTTTATGATGCTATTTGCCTTTTTTAGCAATACGTGTGTTAGATGTCTCCCCCAAACCCCCTCTCCCACCACCACTGTTACAGAGAGTCGTTATTTCGAGTCCATTACTCCCCAA